TGATGGTGCAGGCGAGGGACGACAGAGTACAGTCGATCGTCACCGGAGAGATTCTGGGCGGAGATCAGCTGGCGAAGGGCGACTATGCTCCGACAGCGGTCTGTGAGTGAGACTCCGACGGTGGTGGGATGTTCCGGCAGGCTAGATGTGAGCGCCGGCGGCGGTGTGGTGGTGGCTGGGGTGAACGACGGTGGTCGGACATGGTGTTTTAATGTGTGAGTTGTATATGTGCGCCGAGAGAGAGAGAGAGAGGGGATGAGGAGAGAGTTAGGGCCTAGGGGGGATTGTTTATGGTTTCTACAGTAAAAAAAAACCAATCAAAACTCAAATTTAACAAAACTTTAACTCAACCCCACTATCTCTCATATTATCAATATAATTAAATAATATCAACCAATCATTCTTACACACCACATCAACTTTAATTCACTATTCATCTACTCACATAATTTTAACTAACCATCACTTTCAATCATTTTTCTCCTACTTTACATCAAATCAACTTTAATTATTTTATTTAAATATTATTTTAGTATATCCACTAACAACTAATCATACCACCTTTTTCCAAAATTAACTATAGTTAAGAAACAAACCAAATAAAAACTAGTTGAATCCATAAACAATCACCCCTTTAGTGTGTGTTAGTGTGTGAGAGAGACAGTGGGGAGAGAGAGAGTTACGTGTAATTTGATTTAGTTAAGTGTTACTTGATTTATAGTGGGTCCCACCTATTAATTAATTATTTGTGTAATTGTGTATGTTGTAATTACCAGTTTACCCTTAATGAGTGTGAAAAATAAGCATTTTTTTAGCCATTAGATCATCCGATCTAATGGTCACGATGTATTCTTATTTCTCGCATTAAGCATCATTCTCACCGGAGCGTGACCATATATATATATATATATATATATATATATATATATATAAATATATATACAAAACAATTTGATATGTTCTATGCACATTTACAAACTATAGTATTATCCAGATTTTTCTCTCATTAATATCGAGTAAAATGCTTAGCAATATAAAAAAAATTGAGATACCATTTTTTACCATAAGCAGGTATATTGGATCAATATATAGTATACCAAATAATTCGATTTCATACTTTATAGATAAAATACAAAAGAAAAATGATATTTAGTTTTACCACAAAATTATTTGTGCAATGTACAAAACAAAATAGAGACCCACGGTTTTTGTAGATAAAAATAAAAAAGACCCAAAAAACAGTTATTAAAAAATAATTAAATAGAAGTTGCCCTTAATACAATTATTTTGGAATAATTTTATGAAAAATTATGATTGAATAAATCAACCCAATTTACTCAACTGTGTAATTAGGGTATCTTAAAAATGTTAATTTTTATGGTCTAATTATTTTCTTAATTATCCACAATTTGAGTAATTAAATATAAAAAAAATAAGAATTGTTAAATAATATTTAAATAAAAACTGTTATTAACGCAATATTTTAGAATAGTTTTTGCAAATCGCATAATTGATTATTTTAATCGATATTTTCATAATTCTAGTAATTATTTGCAGATTGAATAAATCATCCGGATTTACATAATTTGTGTACTTAAGGTATATTAAAAATTCATTTGACAAAAGAATTACACGAAAAATATAAAACACTTATTAAACAATTAATTACACAATTTAGTTGGAAGATTTTTACAAAATCACATAATTGATAGTGTAGCCGAAATTCTCTTATTTAGGTAAATCAGTCAAATTCACATAATTTGAGTAATTAATGTATCTTAAAATAATTTTTTTATGGCTTATATAATTTCCTTAAATATTTAGTCGCAATTTCCATAAGTGATTAATTGAAATATACCATAAATTGTTAAATTAATTTCATGAAATAGTAAATAAATTTTTTTGGAGAGAAATAGTTACTATTTAAAAATAATCAAACCTTATATATATATATATATATATATATATATATATATAGGAGGCGAATCAAATGCGCCCAGCTCTTAAAATGCTGACATCTCTTAGTAACTACAGAGAACTAACTTAGCAACTACAGAGGGGAACAGACCTGCGGACTACCTTGCAGCCTTGGCGCCACCATACCAGACCCACATACGTTTCAGACCGACACTGCTTCACTCCGTCTTCGCACGCTTGTATGGATGGACCAGCTTGGATATCCATCGTTCCGCTTTCAGTAGATTAGACTTTTATTACCGGGCACCTGTTATCCCGAAGACAGACTTTGCATTATTATTTCTTTGTTGTTTTTCTTTTGAGACCTTGTAGACTGTAGATTGTTGATTTGTTGGGCCCTCGTTTTGGGATCTTGATCTATGCACAGGTTTGGGATCCAGCTCAATCTCCCGCCCTTCCTGGGCGTTGTTTGTTAATAAAAAAAAATAAAAAAAAACCTAGCAACTATAGAGAACTAAACTAGCAACTACAGACAACTAACCTAGCAACTACAGAGAACTAAACTAGCAACTACAGAGAACTAACCTAGCAACTACAGAGAACTAACCTAGCAACTAGAGAGAACTAACTTAGCAACTACAGACAACTAACCTAGCACTACAAACAACTAGCCTAGCAACTACATGGAACTAACCTAGCAACTACAGAGAACTAACTTAATTGGAAGGTTAGTTGTCAATGGTCAACGCTGGAAGTCAACGGTCAATGCCAGAAGTCGACGAATTTTGCCAGAAGTCAACGGTCAACGTTATAAATCAAGTGTTTGTCCTCATAGGCATGTATAAAAGTTCATATATGTTGAACTACTCCGAAGTGTCATAAATTGACATATAAGATTATAAAGTGACATAATTCGACACATTGACTTATTTAGTACCATATATTTGCATGTGGATTTAAAAATTACATATAGGACACATTAAATTATAAGTATCATAAATTTACGGGTAAGGCTACAGTCCCGTTACAGAACCATTACATTGAGATTTTTAATCGTTAGATGCACATGTAAATTAGTGTAGCATGTGCATCCAACGGTTAAAAAATCCCAACGAAATGGTTCCGCAACGGGACTGTACCATTTTCCTAAATTTATTTTTGGATTTGAAAAACTGTACATTATAGAGAGATGTATACAAAAATACCTAAAAACAGTTAAAGCGCGCCAACAAACAACGACTTTCGCACAAGAAATATTATCCTGTTATTTTTTATTTAGAGTTGTGGATTGTGTAATATGTGGACTTGTATTACTCAAGAGTGGATAAAATAATTGTTGACCTCTCTTGTGAGAACATTCAATTACTTCGTACCATATAAAAATTAACATATAGGACCCATTAAATTATAAGTACCATAAATTTGGCCGTGGATTCGAAAAATTATACATTATAGAAAGATTTATACAAAAATACCTGAAAACAGTTAAAGCGTGCCAACAAACAACAACTTTAGCACAAGAAATACCAGCCTGTTATTTTTATTTAGAGTCGTGGATTGTAATCTGTGGAACCTGTATTACCATAGAGTGGATAATAACAGCTGTTGACCTCTCTTTCATGGGAGCATTCAATTACTTAGTGCCATATATTTGCATGTGGATTCGAAAATTAACAAATAAGACACATTAAATTATAAGTACCATAAATTTGCTTGTGAATTCGGAAAAATTATACATTATAGATGACAAAATGACCTGGACCCAACCTGATCTAGCCCGACCCTGTAACGCCCCACTTTATTTTGAAATATTTATCGAATTTATTTATAAAAATCATAATAATTTTTTCGCAAATCTCAAATTCAATTTAAAACTTAGTGGGCGCTACTTAACTACCAAGAACTTTTAACCGAAAATACAAACACATCAGATAAAATCGGTACATGCATGATTACTAATTATCAAACTTTACTTACATTCAATAAGTTCCAAAATCATAAAGGCAACTCACAATCCAAGGTTCAAAGTGACGTAATCAAAAATATCTCAATTCAACATAAGTTCATAAAAGCGAAAGCAATAATAATCATAGGTAAAATAAAGTAGACCACCACTCGCCCTGCCTCGTCACCCGCCAACTGCTTAACCTGCATCCGTGAAGAGCAGGTGAGAGTGAGTACAGTTGGAAAATATTGTACTTACACTATGCATATGAACAACTCAGAAAATGTTAAGATGGTATGGTTGCAGCATGAACATAAACAATAATAAATCATGTATCATCTCTAGTCACATCAATGACTCTTGCCATAGCTATGACTCACTCATGTGCACATCTACGCTCATCAAAGCTCAGCCATGCCATATCAATGAAACATGGTAGTGCGTGCCACATCAATGACACGGCCTTCTCATAGGTGTTAGTGACATTTACCTCGTAACGGTAACCGTATTTCATCATACGGGGACAACCGTACCGATGGTCATCAAGCTCACATTGATAGGCTACATGCTCACATGCATACATAGATCATACCAGTTTAACACATATAAAACAACACATATGCATAGGTAATTTAGAATAACTAACCCACCTGAAAACCGAGGTAGCAAATAGCACACAATAGCAGATACGTAGGTCGAGGACTCGACTCCTCAAACACCTACATTTAAGCGAGATAGTTTTTCTTAAATAAATTATCTGGATAACTTGAAAATTTTAATGGACATTCTCACTAAGCAAAAATATCTAAAATTAGTCTAAACAAAATTCTTAAAAAGAATTTCAACATCAGCTTAGAAAAATTACCACACTTCGGGAATCTTCAAGCAAATAGGCACGGTTCGACAGTTGGGTCAAAGCTTCTTCCGATGACCAATGCAAAATCCCATTCATTCATTCCCTTTTCAATTCCAGCCCACATTATATGGTCCATTTGCAAAACTCTAAACCCAAAATCATCAAGGCTCAAAACAATTCCTCTAGGCCCAATCCCCTTTTCCTTTTCTTTTCCATTTTCCTTC